ACGTCTACACCGTCCACACTAAAAGTTCCGCCTGTGATCTTTTCACCTTACTAACAGGCTCTTGATTGTTTCCAACTTGCAGGAAATGAGAAAAAGACAAGAATTAATTTGTCTGATCCGAGCTGAGGCGGGAGGACTTTGATGGTCGAACCAATCTCTCCGGGCAGGTTTCCAGCAGGGGTGGAGGTGTTCCTGTCGTAGCTGGGTTTCGGGGTGCAGTCAGCCTTAACTGATGCGTTATTTATTGCCTGTTACTTTATGCTGCAAAAATATTGGGGCGTTGCCAAGCTCGAACACGAAGGGTATTACCGTCCATCACCTGCTACCCGCGCTGATTTGGTGGGGGTCGGAATCTCATTTTGGAGCTTGTGACAGACACTCTGTCCTCCAGATGTCGGGTTTCGGGAATGAGTTTGTGTAAGCATCTGCACATCACGGCCCACAACGCTGCACTACACTAAATATGGCTATGATAAAGTCAAACATTAATGGTTCTGCTGGGAATAGTCTGCCTTCTCTGTTTTGTAGATTAGCCCAAAAGGTATGGTTCACTTGTTTATTCAATACATTTGCAGTGGTCTCTCAGTGGGGTGGGTGGGGTACTGTTGCATCGTTTCTAGGAACTAGCAGTGAGCCACATCACAGCTGAGCTTCCGACGACAGGTTCTGGAGATATTTGGATAACATCAACGTGACTCTACCACTGACTTGCAAAGTTGATGTTTGATCTCCACAAGTATCACAAGTGTGGAGGAGCTTCTGCAGGGTGGTGAAGTTTCCAATGCTAATGGTTAGCTTCATCACATCGGGACGTTCTCTGCTGTTTCCTGAACGCTAAACCAACAACAGCTTTCCCCGTCATGAGTCAAGATGGGTGACACCATGAATGGTAAGTGACAGGTTGACGTAGATCCGTCAGGATTTTCAAATCCTAGATTTTCGCCGTCTATTTCCTATCAGAAGCTACTGCAGGAGATGGGTGTAGGAGACTATTTCATGTTCAGTCTGCATGAAAAGTCAGAGTGACTGATTATCAGAAATAATCATAAAAAAAGGGTTTTCAGTGAACCACATATTTAACTATGAACTTTTTTTTACCGTAATGTTTAAGGCAGAGGTCCCTTGTGGAGCCGAACCCATGCTACGTTTAACCTGAACAGATTCCCAGTCTGGAATTAAGCCACATCCAAAGCTTCTCTGAGCCCTTACTCAGATGACAGAGACTGAAATGTGACCATACTGCTGTGACTCCAGTACCATCCACCACACCACCATGCAGCCCCGTCATGCTGCACATAGTTAAATCCATTTTAAATTCATTTGATTCTAATGTTCTGGTGATTGTTGTTTAACACCCTGGCCCTCTCTCTTTCTAAAAAATGTAAAAAATAAAAAAGAATTTGCTAAATTTGCCCCTGAAATGTACATTTCTGAAGCAACCTTATCTGATCATGTGCTTGTCCCTCTTGTAAATGATTGGATCAGAACCCATCCATCATCCATCGCTTCCTAGTGTCCTGGTTGTTCTGCTTGAATGTGCACCTCTGGCCAGCCAGCAAAGCTAAAACATTTGTTCAGAAGAAATGTTGACAATTCTGCATCGGTCTAGGCAAACAAACGGAGTTTATTTATAATGTGAACACGTGTCTAATCCTTTAGTTTTTGACTAGACATCTGATGAACTAATGACGAAGTAATTTACGTTTTTCACACAGTTTATTTAAACACGTTTGAGGCTTTAGTGAGTATTTTTATGTTTTTTCTGCTTGCTTGAACTATTTTGCTGTTGATTTAAAAAGCAGGAATGTGATTCAAACTTACAAACATTTTCAAGATTTATTATTTTTTTTTCAAATAAATCATCATTTCTTTTATTTATCTGCCCATGAACCATCATTGTGTAAGGAAGCAATTGGGTAATATACATGTTGGTGCAAAAATGCTGTTTCCTTACACCGTCCCACAACAGGGCATGCAAATCCCGGTAGGCATGTCTATTTCGGCACAACACCTGTTAAAATGCGCCCCACCAAAAAAAAAACTATTCACCAGCCACACACCAGTGTGTGTGTGTGTTTAATACTAGACATTTTCTTTGAGTGAAAAAAGTATTTTATTCTCAAAAATGTGCATCTCCATTTTTGTTTGAAACAAAAACTGGTTTTGTGGGCGGAGCTTGTGGGTGATGAAAGACCTTAAGTGACCCCAGTGTGTTACTACAGTCACTGAACGCTCATCCACAGGCGCTGCAGCACACAGAACACCAAGCTGCCAGCAGCACACTCAACACGTTCTTGGCTCTTTCAGAAAGTTCCTTGTTCCTTTGGATTCTTGCAGCTGAAAGTTGATTAAAGTAAAGTTTATGTCCTTATGTACAAAACATAAATGATGTCAAATGCCTGTTGCATTATTTTACCCAAACTGGAACAGAGAGCAAAGTTGAAACTAGACTCAAAGTAGAAAAACAAATATCTTTAGCCTCTTTAGCTCGCCATGTCCTCCCCACCTGCTCAGTGTGGACACACAAGCCCAGCTACACTTCCTGTAGTGACCAATCATGTGTTACTCAATTAAAAAAATAAGGGGTAGAAATAAATAAATAAAAATTCAGGTGCCGGCTCTGATCGTTACTTCAAAGAACCGTCTCCAAGAGCGTTTGTGTTCGCCACCGAAACGTCAGGATCAAATGGGTTGTGAGTGACCTTGGTGGAAAGTCGTTTAGTAGCATGAAGTCGACACTTAAGTGAATTTATTTATAGCACCTTCATCATCATCATCATCACCTTTATTTATAACATATATCATGTCACCAAGGTGCTGCACAAGACTAAACTAAAAAGATAAAAACAAAGAATATATAGGAACCCAATAAAAAAATTAAAAACAGCAAAATACAAAACATCAGTCAACACACAGATTTAAAGGCCAGATTATAATAATGGGTCTTCAGCGCCTTCTTAAAAACCTCTACTGACATGGAGAGCCGCACAGATAATGGAAGATCATTCCATAATTTTGGGCCTGCTACCGAAAAAGCCACCTTGATTGGTGAACTTCAATGTAACAGGCATTTGTCATAATAAAACAAAACACAACATGTAATAGACAAAAGCCACCGTATTATGGTGCCAAAGCAGAGAAAGCATGTATTTAGGGGGTGCTGAATTCACAATCTGAATAAATAACAGAAATGTAAAATCTGGGTGTGTTCAGTTATCATATCGTAGTATCAGACACATTCATGAATGCCTCCTGGAAGGACAAGCCTACAGCAGGAACCCTCTGAAGGTTCAGCTTCAGCTGCTTCAGTTGCACGTGCAGCCATCTTTGTGAGCAAATCAAGCTAAGTGTACTATGGATGTTTGTAAGTAATGAGGAATTTGGAATTTTTTTTTCTTTTTTTTTGCTGACTATGCATGCATGAGCAGTGGTGGTGGTGGTGGACTATGATGGTGTGCTTAAGAGCCCCACTGGGGAAAGGCGGGTTGGTCACGGGGGAGATTAGGCTTGAGGGGCAGCGAAGGGAAACCAAATCCATCTCCATCTCTGAAACATCCTAAAGCAGATTACTTACTTCAGTGGCAGAGGAAGAAAATATGGATGGAAGGAGAGGGAGAGGAGGAACACGCAGATGAAGGAGAGAGCGAAGAAAAAGAGAGCAATTAGCATAGATGCAATTTTGGCTCAGCCGTCTGACTCGATATCTGACCTTTTAGTAAGAGTCTTGCCAAATATTGCCGGAGAAACGGAGGCAGACCATATGGCGACGTGCTGCTGGAGGCTGAGTTCAGTGTGACTCCAAGCCTCTGTATGGTAATGGGAGAATGTAATTACAGCGCTCTATTCCTGCAGGACGCATATTTCACGAGCCCTCCGTAGGAGTGGCTCTGCATTAAGTGGACAGTGAAATAGAATGAGCGCAATATTCCCGAGGCTGAACAGCAATATGTCTTCTTACGAGATAGTCATGATGGAAATGAAGACACGCGCTAGAAAAAGGAATCTACAGTGAATCCTGAGCAGGATAAAAGCTGCAGATCTTCACTCTGCATTACAGCAGGTGTTTTCTCATTGGCCGGCAAAAGGCAACACCTGGTGAGTGGGTGACATCACTAAGGGGGGCGTATCTACGGAGTGGAAAAGTACGAGTTGAACAAGTTCTTGACAACTTTGACCTTGTCATTGAAATTTGATTGTACGCTTGTCATCTTTTTTGAATGACAGAAAACACTGAAGAGGAGGTTCAAAGCAGGAAGTGGAATAAAGTCTGAGTCATTTACAGCTTCCGCAGTCTCTCCATCAAGGAATAATTTTAATCTCGTCTTTTAAGTTTCAGTCAATTTGATCAAGTTGAAAACTTCTCACTGCAACTGTATTTCATTGCAGATTTAAAAGGCGATGCTTTGTTTAGTGCGCGTGACATGAAAATGTGTGAAAATAAAAATTAAATAAATAAATTTGTAGGTCATCCTATTTGAATTACAACCAGAAACCAGGATGTTAGCTTGCGTAGCACATTTAATATTGTTTTTAAAAAAACGTTTGAATTAAAATTTAGGAGATCTGAATAACTTTAAGTTGGCATAAAGACAGTTTAGCCCTGGCTGTCCCCAAACTAGCCATTAGCTCATCAATCCTACCGGATGTCAACTTTATTTCTTCAAACAAAGGCTGGCCAGGACGCTTTCTAAATGCCTTTTAAAATGGCCAGATTTAATATAAATTATTTATTATAACCGGTGATCTCCTAAAAATGACAATGACACATATTTGCTTTGAAGACCTGTTTGAGACACCAACAAGATGTTTAATGCCCGTGCAGAAAATGTGGTACATTTTTCAAAAATCCTCACTTTTACCATATTTCAGTTGTTTATTTTAGAAAACCTGCTCCTGTCAGTCTTCAGCACCACAACAGATGGGCTGTGTTTGACTTTGGGTTTTCAGCAGAAACCTCAGCCTCTCTCTGGTCTTAACAAAGTAGATAGAAGTTCTTCTTCTGCTCTGCTGACGCTGGCGAATGCAACTTTCAGCTGAATATGTGTGAAACGCAGTTGTACTAGACGTGAGTAATGTGTTCAGTCACAGATCCTGACTTAATTACTTAATTATTAAAACAAATTAACATATCTATGTTATTGTTTACGTAACTATTTGCGGATTTACACAAAAATCAAGTTTTTTTTTTACATTTCCTGTGGAAAAAGTAGCCATAAATCATGAAGCAGACTTTAAGTGAAAGATAAATTTAAACCAGTTTCTAAGAATCAGCATCATCAAGTTAGGAACTGGTGGAAGCTTTGATCAACAGTAACATGCTGTTTTTATTTATTTGTTTCTGTCTCATCTTCTCACCCAACAAACTACTAGTAATACGCGTGTGTGATGAGAGAAGTGTTGACGTTAAAAGTGAGATGACACCACACTCATCACATGTTTGTGACCAAAAAAAAGGTGTGTGGTTTTAAGGTGCAGCAGGGATTTCTGGGAAATTAGGGAAAGAGTGCAATAAAGCTCTGAGAGAGGATCTCCGGGCAGTGAGCAGGAAGAGAGGCATAAAACGATGGAGAACAGGTGAGGAGCAGGGAGGATCCGTGCGGGTGTTTGGATACCTGAGGGACCTGGCATGGAAATCCCCAATTTCCCAGCCAAGTCGCAGCGCTTTGAGTAGCGAAGAGGCATCAGAGAGCTCAACGAGAAACCATGTGGATGTAACGAAGCGAGGGCCGAGCGAGGCACCATGCTGCCAGTTCTCTGAAATGTTAAATTGAAATGCAAAGTACACGGAGCGGGCCTTCTTGTTTTCGAGCAGATTTCTCAGCATCTGTGTAGCAGCCATTCAACGTGGAAGGTCCACACACAAATCTCTGCATGTTTAGAATAAATCAGCTCCGTGTTTAGATTAGGATTAGAAAATACCCACAGCTGAGTTTGGCTTCACTCAGGTAAATGAGAGTCAACGCAATCTGCTCTGTGAATTTAAAAATGCTTTACCGGTACTTCTGTGAATGACTTGGTGAAGTAGATGTGTTTTTTAATCTGATCTTTAAAAAAAAACATGAGTCTATGGAAAATTGCTTGTTTCACAGATTTTAAGTTAACGCAGCACTAGTTTTGAACACTTAAAGTTATTGCTTTCAAATTGGTTTCAGTGGTTCTTGAGCTGGAAACTTGAGAAACTTCACATTTGACAGTACTCTGTAGCCTTCTGCTGACCAGAAACTGCCCTTAATAGTTAGTGGGACATTTAGGAACACTAGTGGGGGATCTCTACCTGCTTTATGGAAATAGCTGTAGAAGAAGAAGTAGAAGGTTGATTATTTTTTTTTATTGGCATCATGGTGGAGACCGGAAGTAAAAGTAAGTGAGTAAAAGGTGAAGCAAAGAGCTAAAACCAGAGTGAACATCGGCACCATAAACATGAAGACACAGACACCCCATTGGGCTCTGGAAAAAGGGTAACTGTGTCGACGCCATATTGGATGGGTCTCCTCATTCTCCAAAGTCAACACATAGTGAGTACCTATGCCCATACTATTGAAAACAAAATCATGTGGGATTACTATCTACCTGATGGGATGTTGTATTTTAATGTATTTAAATTTCCATCCATCCATCCATTATCTGAACCCGCTTGTCCTTGCAGGGTTGCGAGGTTGGCTGGTGCCTATCTCCAGCAGCCAACAGGCAAACAGGCGGGGTACACCCTGGACAGATTGCCAGTCCACCACAGGGCAACACAGAGACCCACATACACACACACACAAACACCTAAGGACAATTTAGACAGACCATATAACCTGACAGTTATGTTTTTGGACTGTGGGAAGAAGCTGGAGAAACCCGGAGAGAACCCATGCATACGCAGGGAGAACATGCAAACTCCTTGCAGAAAGACCCCAGGCCGAGATGTGAACCCAGAATCATCTTGCTACAAGGCAACAGCGCTAATCGCTTATGTTGATTAATTATATTTGTATTTTAATTATTATGCCATACTTCAACCGCAGGATTGGTTCTCTGCTTTTTGCAGATGATGTGGTCCTGTTTGCTTCATCAGAACGTGATCTCCGGCTTTCGCTGGAGCAGTTTGCAGCAGAGTGAAAAGCAGCTGGGATGAGACTCAGCTCCTCTAAGTCCGAGACTAAGGTCTTAAGTCGGAAAAGGGTATAATGCCTTCTCCAGGTCAGGGATGAGGTCCTGCCCCAAGTGGAGGAGTTTAAGTATGTCGTGGTCTTGTTTACGAGTCAGGGAAAGCTGGAGCGTGAGATCGATAGGCGGATTGGTGCTGCGACTGCAGTGATGCGCCTGTTGTGCCGGTCTGTCATTGTAAAGAGAGAGCTGAGCCAGAAGGCAAAGCTTTCGGTTCACCGGTCGATCTACGTTCCTACACTCACCTACGGTCATGAGCTTTGGGTAGAGACCGAAAGAACAAGATTGCGGATACAAGCGGCCGAAATGTGTTTTCTCCACAGGGTGGCTGGGCTCTCCCTTAAGAGATAGAGTGAGAAGCTCGGTCATTAGGGAGGAGCTCAGAGTAGATCCGCTGCTCCTCCACATCGAGAGGAGCCAGTTCAGATGGCAGCTCCTCTAGGCATTGCCAGTCCACGGCCTTCTGGACGCCTCCCTGGTGAGGTTTTCCGGGCATGTCCAACTGGGAGGAGACCTAAAGTGAGACCCAGAACACACCGGAGGGCCTATGTCTCTTGCCTGGCCAGGGAACACCTTGGGGTTCTCCCAGAAGAGCTGGCCCAAGTGGCTGAGGAGAGGGAAGTCTGTGCCTCTCGATTTAGGCTGTTGCCCCCGCGACCCGACTACGGAAAAGCGGAAGAGAATGGATGGATAGATGGTTGGATATCATGCCATAACATGTGTCTGATTTTGTGAAAAAGCTTGACAAAACGTGTTTTTAGTTGGTTTAAGCTCCTTCCTCAATAGAAATAAATGCACTTGGGGCAAATAGAGACCCATCCAAGATGGCAGCTCCTCTAGGCATTGACAGTCCACGGGGCATCTACAGATATGATGTCTGTGATCTGCACAACCTACACATGTTTGAGGGAGCTAAAGGAGGCCACAAAATCACAGTGATGGTGACCTGGCTTTGTTGTGATGATGTTTTAGTGTCTGCAGCCGTAAATAAAGTCTGGTGCTGCTGCCCATGTCCCTTCCTGTCAGAGGGCTTCAGACGGGCTCAGCAGGTTCAGCTGAGCGTGTCACTGCTGTTAGGATATCACTTTATTTTGTGCAGGTGTGAGGGCTCTGGGTCAAAATATTTCTGGCAATAAAAGAGAATTATTAAAGGAAAGTTGTTGCTCAAGTCTCACTGAAAGAGATTCTGTGATAGTGAGAAATAAAGTAACATTACAGAGAAAGCAGAAGACCTTCCGATCTGCTCCTGGTTTGAGTTAAAAAAGAGAATCGACACAAGCGCGCTTTTGCTCTTCCTCGATATGAGTACCGGGCTCAAATTAGACCAAAAAAAAAAATCTGAATTAAAGCATCACAGACTCTCTCCACTAATCAAGAGCCATTCATTAGGAATGATCTTTTCAGCCGCTGACTCAGGTGTGAATGAGAAGGCCTCCTCAGACACGAGACACGTAACGTTAACAACCTCATCAGGCTGTCATGACGGTCGCTTTCTGCCACCAGCAGAAAACCACAGTGATGGGGGTCAGATGTTTCTGTGTGAAACCAAACAATGTAAAGCCTTTTTTTTCTCACAACAGTTTTCTGCTTCATTTTAGCACAAGTGCTGCAGTTGTGAAATAGACAAAAGTGGCTAAATATACATGGATTTGTAACATGTTCACCCCTTTTTAAACAGAACGCTGTTGCATGTATAGAAATGTTCATAAAAGCCTGGATAAAAGATAAATAGATAAAGTGAGGTGGTTCATTCCGAGGACGTTGCTTTTGACGGATTTACATGATATAATATTGGATATTCACAAACAAAAAACCTCTGGACACCCCTGAGCTAGGACCTCATGACCTTCACGACCTTTTGAAACTTTGTTTGCTCATCGCAAATTTGGAAATTCGCCTTCAGAGTGAAGGCTGCCTTCCTCCTTACATTAAAAAGAAAAGTTTATTTCTGCTATTTTCCATCGTCCCTGAACTGCTCTCCAGCTTCCTCATCACATGTCAGCAGAGCATTTTCATATTGAACCTTCTTGTCATCGTTCTCGGGTCGAGGTGAGTGCTCCCTCTCAACTAACCATCTTTGGGGTTCTGTGTTCCACAGGTGAGGAGCGGAGGGGCACCAGCTGTGCCGAGTTAATCATTTAGAGTTGGGTTTAAAAGGAGGATGGAGACACCGCTTGAAGCTGGATGATTACTTCAGTTATGGTAACGCCTGCCACTCGTATTCGTTTTGCTCCTAGTAGTTTTGCTCTTGCTTGTTTGGATTTTTGACCTTGGACAGTTTTTGGATTACGATTTTGAACTTGCTCCTGAAACCCTGTTCTGTCTGCCCTCCTAGGATTTTCACCACACCTTCACTATTCAGCTAAAGAACTACGGATCTTCATTCCACGTCCCATCCTCCTCCTCAGCTCCTGATCTCCCCTCTCTGCTGCCTCACCTCCCGCCCGGCTGGGTCTCCACACTCATCCACCCCGGCTCCCCACTACCCCCACAGCTCGCTGAGCTAGAACTTTGGACTTTCGCCCACGGCATCACTCACTGATTTTCCAGTGCTCCTTTAGTTCTCGTTTGTAATAAAAGACTTTTATTTCTTACCTTCTGACTCTGTGCTGATTCTGCATGTCTTGGGTTAGACGCCTTCCACCAGTCATGACACTTCTACAAATACCCAGGAGCCCCATCCTGGCACGGTTCTCGGATCGCATTTAGATGCAGCTACATGGAGGAAACCTTGCTAACACCATTGCAATGCATGGTGGGTTTGTGGCCTAGGTAAAAAGCTTCATGTTGATGGCAACCAAAGCCAGTATCTTACTGGGCTGCAACGGCTGGCAACAAGTTGGAAACAAAAATCTTACATTTGCAAATAATCATTAGAATCGCACTAAACTGGTCTTTACAACTTTTACATCGGACCACAACCCTTGCAAGTACATTTTGGGAACTCCCGTGTGAACATTGTTAGCAATGTGACACGCCTATTCCCAGTGACACACTGGCTTAAGCTCTACTGCTATGTGCAGATCTTAGGGCATTCATGGTTGCATGCACATCTAAGTCGAGCTAATACCTTAACCAGAGTGGAAGCCTTTATCCAAGTTTACATGTCCATTAGAAAATCAAATGATTGAATGATGTGCATACTCTGCCACAGTAGGTGGCGACATGCTCCTGTTAGTGTCAGCATACTTCTGGTTAGCCTATGGCAGCACACAAATAGTACATAAACGCTGGTGGGAGTGAAGCAGAAAGATAATTAGCAGGATGTGCACATTGGCCGAAGGAATGAACGACAACGCTGCAGCACAGCTTATCTGGTTGTAGTCCACTGTTTGATGGTGTCGCATGACAGATTTATGCAGACATCACGTTCTTTCATAGCTCAGCTGAGCTGGGATGAGATGTTTTAGGGTTTTAAAACTGCGTGATCTGGGTATCTTAGCTCAGTAATTACTTGTCCTGTTTGCTTGAACTTCAGTCGCACTAAGGCGTTTACATGTTTGTAAAAAGTCGGACTAAGGCAATAACTGGGTTTTCCCTTACTGCATGTACACACACTCAGTGTGTTTACCTGTGCATCTAAATCGATCTAAAGCAAAAATAAAAATAAAAATGGGAGCCTTTATCCTAGCTTACATTAGAAAACTGAACTCTCAAATGAAGTTCATTGCACTCCGGTACAGGAGGTGGCAACATGCGCCCTTTCAGGTCGGCATTCTTCCGGTTAGCTTATAGCAACACAAATAGAAAACAAACACGGGCGGTAGTCAAGCAGACAAGGTTAAAACAGGACACGCACAATGAAGGAATGGACAGCAACAACGCTGCAGCACAGCTTTTTTGGTACTATACTGGTTGATGGTGCGACACATGTTTGTGGCAATGATGCTATCAGAGGACCGCCTCCGCAGTCTCATCACTTCCGGTAGTTACTGGCATCAGCTCAGCGGAGCCGTTTATGCAGTCAGGTACCTATTGCATTATCTGTGCTTCAGCCTGATGGAACCAGTTCATCTTCAGCAAGACTAACATGTCATTTAAAATAACAACTTCAGTCTATTTAGTCTATTTCTATCCCGCAGCAAAATGTCCCTCCCTGAGAAAGAAGACATGAAATTAAGTAATCTGATTTCAATCAAAAGACCGGTGTTCTACCTGAAGCAATTACAGGAGTTACAAAGTGGCAGAAGTTAAATTGGAAGATTAGGGATCACCAAGATGGAAACAAGGGAGATATTATTGACTTCCAAGGTAACATGCTAAAGGCAGGGTTTAAGACCGGACAAATCCAGCAAGACTCCCCTCCTGTTGTTCCATCTCGGCTCTGATCAGACAAACAGGTCGTAGTTTGTAAAAACACAGCTTGCTCTCTGAGCAGACTGGAATCTTTTCTCCCCTCAACAGAACGCCACAGACAGATCATTTAAAGTGTCAACAAACTGTGAACAGCTCAACGGTCTATCTGCTGAGGACGGAGGAGGGAGAGGAAGTCAGAGGAGGACAAAAGAGCTCTCTGCTCAGGAGTCAGGAGCAAAAAAATCTAAATCCTCCTGACTGGGGCGTTATAAATCCTTCCGTTTTCTGGCAGACCACAGGGTGAATTCACACCTTTGACACATTCTAACCCCGGGGTTTGTAACAGAAAAAAATATTGAAATCTCTCTCTGGGCACGGTGTCAGATGCTCATCATGAAATATTCATAACCTGAGACGGCCAGAGCCACAATAGAGGGGGTGGCAGCATGCTAGGATTTGACTTGCAGAAACGGAGGTGCTTAGACCAAACCGAACAGCTTCTCTGATCACAAAGTGCCATTCACATATTTACTTTCACACCGCTCTTTCCAGGATGAGTGACACACACACACACACACATTCATAACTATAAACCTTTGATTGTATTAATATCTCTGAAACGTGGTTAAAACAACTTGAGCTAAAACAAATTAAACTAAATCAAAATTAGCAGATGACAAAACCACTTGCAGATTTTACATCAAAGAGCAAGTTCACTCATATTTTAATACAGCTGCAGTCGTTTCTAGTAGGAATGAATGCCTGTAAGTCGTTCTGTGGGGGGAAAAAACTCAGGTGCACCTGTTTGAGGACTTAGAATTGAACTGGGCTGCATGGTGGCACAGTGGTTAGCACTGTTGCCTCGCAGCACGAAGGTTGCAGGTTCGAAACTCAGCTGCGGCCTTTCTGCGTGGAGTTGCGTGTTCTCCCCATGCATGCGTGGGTTTCCTCCGGGTACTCCGGCTTCCCCCGCAGATCACAACACGCCCTATAGGTTATAAATTGTAAGTCGCTTTGGATAAAAGCGTCTGCTAAATGAATAAACATAAACATAAGTAGCAGAAGACGGCAGGATTTGGAGTATTGTTTCCTGATATTCTGACCTCTCACGTCTGACTGGCTAACAGCAACATGACTCTACCACTGACTATGTCTGCTCTGCGACGTGGATGTTCTATCTCCGCAAATAACACGTCTGGAGGAGTTCTGCTGTGCTGTGGAGTTGCTAATGCTGACAGCTGCTGCTGTTTCCTGGACGCTAAACCAACAACAGCCTTTTTTTATGGGGCGACGGTGGCACAGGAGTTAAGTGCTCGCCTCGCAATCGGAAGGTCGCAGGTTCGAGACCCGCTCAGTCTGTCGCTGTCGTTGTGTCCTTGGGCAAGACACTTAACCCACGTTGCCTGCTGGTGGTGGTCGGAGGGACCGGTGGCGCCAGTGCTCGGCAGCCTCGCCTCTGTCAGTGCGCCCCAGGGCAGCTGTGGCTACATTGTAGCTCATCCCCACCAGTGTGTGAATGTGTGTGTGAATGGGTGAATGACTGATTGTGTTGTAAAGCGCCTTGGGGGGTTCCAGGACTCTAGAAGGCGCTATATCAAATACAGGCCATTTTTCATTGCAAGTTAAGATGGGTGAGTCCATGAATGTTAAGTGATGTCGATCTGTCAGGCTTTTCTATTTTATATCAGAAACTAATGCAGAACACTTTTTTCATGTTCAGCCTGCACGACAAATTCTGAGTTACTGATCATATTTATTTAAAAAAGATGAGTAAAACATGGTTTCTTTAACCGTAACCTTAACTTTAGACAATGATGGTGTGTGTGGTATGTGCATCTGCCTTTTTTGTTGAAGTAGGGTAAGGGTTAATAGGTTATTTTGCAGGACAACCTAAATGCAGGTGGCAGGAAAATCGGAGGAGAAGACACATATATCCTGATGCTCTACTTTTCTGGGACACAATGCCTGATACATGAAAGTGGCACAGCTGGTTTTAAATTGCTCTGTGGGTGGTTGGTGTCATCAGCAGCTTGTTAGAAAAATACATGCCAAGTAAAGCTCTAAACATGAGTGTAATGTGGCCAAACACTTGGAGAATGTAGTTATATTTCCATGTAATCATTGTTTGGGGGAAACTTTGAGCTTTCTGGTGATCAATTTCCTTTTGTGTGCAAATGTGTGCAATTTTTGTAAAGCAAGAGTTTATTCTGGGTTATTTCAAGAATATTTTTTACATTAACAAAGTGATTGTAGTGGACCATGATACAGATGACCAACACACTGTGGGTAACGGTATCTCTCTTTTTGTGTGGACATGGCTCAAAAAAACACCTACTTTTGTTGCCTTACTGCCTGCTCTGTCTAATTCATTCCCTCTTCATCCTTTCCTGTTAATGCTTTGACTGTCCTGTGTCTTCATTTTGGTCCTCTACTAACTCATCAATGGCTCAACAGAAGACTGAACCAACTTTTCACCCAACTTATCAGTGCTGCAACTTTTCAAACCCCTGCTCATAGAAGCATAGGTTAAACTAGAGGCGCTTCTAAGGGGGGAGATTTGGGCTATACTACTACATTCAAGGGTTATCTTGTAATAATTGAAAGTGGGTTTCATTGGAAAGGATAAAATTGTTTATTTTAAGATCTAGTAAATTAACATGTTAGCTATGGTGAATATCAACTCCATCAAAAACCTCAGTTCAGAGAAGCATAGACTACTTCTGACCAAACTAGAAGCTGTCAATCCTAGTGGAGCAGTCACCGATTATAGTGGCATTCCACTACATATTCTGGAAAATTTCTGGGAGGGAGAAAAGTGACCAGGAGATACGATGGCTCAGTCCTCTCAGTTGTTGTGTCTTCATAAAAAAAAAACATCTTTGCTAAGATGTCAGCATATCGCCACTAATTCAGTGCCAAAGGGCGTCCACAAACATTAAAGAGCAAGTCACCCCCAAATCTACTTCTATTTGCTGATGAACTACATAAATGAGTGTCTAATTGTGCTGTAGACATGTGGAGTCAATAAATTAGCACTTCAGTGCATCTTAGTTAAAATTTTAATGTCCATCAATCCATCCATTTTCTTCCGCTTATCCGGAGTCGGGTTGCGGGGGCAGTAGCCTAAGTTGAGAGGACCAGACTTCCCTCTCCCCAGCCACTTGGGTCAGCTCTTCCGGGGGAATCCCAAGGCATTCCCTGGCCAGGTGAGAGACACAGTCCCTCCAATGTGTCCTGGGTCTCCCTTTAGGCCTCCTCCCGGTTGGACGTACCCGGAAAACCTCATCAGGGAGGCGTCCAGGAGGCATCCTGATCAGATGCCCGAGTCACCTCAACTGGCTCCTCTCGATGTGAAGGAGCAACGAACTGACTCCGAGCCCCTCCCAGATGGCTGAGCTTCTCACCATGTCTCTAAGGGAGAGCCCGGACACTCTGCAGGGAAAACTCATTTCAAAATGAGTAAAATTTTAACATTCTGCCTAAAACTGTCAGTGTTGTGCCGTGGTCAGGTAAAAACCCTTCACTACATTTGAATTTAAATCTGCCACCACTATTAGCTAAGAGGTGCACAATGACGTTAAATGGTACATCATGATGTCACAATGCTGTTGTGAGCCTGTCTGTGTGTATTTGTTAGTGGCTCCGCCTTCTCGGTCTGTCAGGCAACAGCATTTGTTGCATTTTTCAAACATGACATGGGAGTGGAGTAAGTTTCTTATAGGGGGTTACTTGCTCTTTAATAACATTAAAGGTTTTATTCTGCAGAAGTACGCAGTAATTTAAACCATTCGGGAGACGAGGAGCGCAGCTGTATGACGTACAAAGCAGCATTCAACACCCAGAAGAAGAATCGTTTTTTAAGGCGCTCTGTAATGAATTATGTTGTCGCGGAGGGTTTCAGATGCATTTCTTGGTGTTGGGAGTTTGAAATGGCGATTTTAAAATGACACCTTTCAATTTTACAAATGCCAGTTGTTTGGCGACATCTGCAGATGCAATTTTTTACTGAGTCAGTAATAAATGATAAATGACCTGCACTTGTATAGCGCCTCTCAGACTCCAAAGCGCTTTACACTAGAGTGTATCATTCATCCATTCACACACTGATGGTGATGAGCTACGATGTAGCCACAGCTGCCCTGACAGAGGCGGGGCTGCCGAGCACAGGCGCCACCTGTCCCTCCGACCACCACCAGCAGGCAAGGTGGGTTAGGTGTCTTGCCCAAGGACAGCAAGAACAACAGCAGAACTCTCTGTCCAGAGCCAGGATCGAACCTGCAACCTTCCGATTACTGGACAACCCGCTCTACCTGTTGAGCTATTGCTAACCCCCACACACACCCCAGTTCAGGTACTCTGCTGGTTCCTAAAATGAGCGAGAAAATGGACCATCCCAGTGGAATGGAGACATTTGTATGCCACGAAGGTCTGGTAAATAACCAGAAATTCCAGCAGTGGAAACGGGCCTTGTGTGTAATCTATTTTACATTATTCTAAACCTTGAGACTGTCTTCAGTAACACATTACATGATTATTGCAGGCAGAAATATGAAATCCCCACAAGAAGAGGTACGGATCTTCCACTTATTTTGCTGTAAATAATTATTCTGTGTGAATAACCATGTACGACTGCATAAAAGTCTATGAAATGTCAAAAACCACAGTGACATTTTTAGAGATTTCAGGATTTTTCTTAAATGTAATAATCTACTTTGAAAATGGCCTTAATTTGACTAGCCATTAGCGCGTCAATCCACTGAACTCTATTTTCCCAAATTGATGTCAAAGATCTATCTTCAGGTTAGACGCTAACTGTTCATTAGCTTTCCTCAGAAACTCACTTAAGATCTCAGCTGTTTGTTTGCTGCATTTAAAAATCAGACAGCAAAAAAAAACCTTAAAGTGTCAATAAACATTTTCTTGTTTTGACAGATCAGATGTTGTTATCTTAGATATCTAAAAACTAGAAATATCATTTCAGTGCAAAGATTCAGATTTGGCCCCGTGTAGCATCTTCCACTCTTAAACTAGAATGGCAGAGCTCCAGCAATGAGTCCTGACACAAACCCTTGTTTACTTTTCTTTCTTTTTACTTTTTTTTTGCTCCAGCTCACAGTTTGGTTTGGCAAACCCACCAAAACTACTTTGATGCAATTAAAAAGAGATTGTGGTTTTGTGTAAAATACAGCCTTCTGAAGCCTTTTCACAAAGAGTCACGTGACAACGTTGGGTGGAACCATTTGGCAGGGAAACAATTTTCAAAAGCGATATAAAACAAAAAGTTCCTCCTCTGGTCACAGAATCCCGAGACGCATGAACTAATTATCAAAAATTCACATGAAACTGATCGTCAACTTTACGAATTCAAGCAGTATTTTATCTCTGCACTTTTTAATAAAGCCCGTTTTACTTTGTGTTTTAAGCAGAAACTTGGAAGTCAAGAATTCGGCATCCTAACGATAGCTTGCTGCAATATTCTACGCACCATTACTGAAGAATTTTTCTCTCACACTTCTCCAGCCTCTCGGTAATGACGAGATACCTTTTAACTTCTCATCCTGAGTCGGCATCAATAATTTATGCCGATCTGTTAAAAATTTAAAGTGCCACGCATTAACGTCCTGCCACACCTGCGCTTTCACGCCGTCCACCCTCTGTGGGCTGCTATTTACCATCCACCCCCCATCCCCATCCCCATCTCTCTTCCTCTCAACCCTCGTCTTCCCCCTGCCATAACGAAGACGATGAAAACGAGTTCTCTTTCGCCACCGAACCACGCACGTTAAATCAAATAGAGGCAGTGGAGGCGACAGACCATGAAATGTAAGGGGCATCGTCCAGACGCCTCCAATTACGCTTTGGCCTTAATTGGCGGCGGCGGTGAGGAAGATGATGAATTCTTTAACAGCCGCGTGCGTCTGTGCCTTTCCGAGCACGGCACCGGCCCACGGAGGACAGCTGCTCAGGGCAAATGGGACCTGACAGAAAATCCACACGGCACGACGAGTCGGAGAGAAAAAGGGGCACGACAGTGACTAAAGGGGCCTGTGCTCTTAAGTAGTTGAGGGTTGCTTGCAGGGAAGACGTGTATAATTAAGCGGTCTGCATGAAGGTTCAGATGGCAAAATCCCATTGTCTTGACAGGAGCTTACCGTTGCCCTTTAGGTTGAGATGCAGGGCCGCGTACGCCCTCGCTTCTCTTTTTTCCTCCATGCACCCCCACGCTTTTAGACCTCTTGGACCAAATTACTTTCTAATTTTTAAGCTTGAATGAATCCAGTAAGTTAGAGATGTAAAGGCCGCTTGTCCGTGAGGTTATTCCTTTGCTCCCTTTTTTTAAAACTCCTCTTCCCTCAGCTCGTGGAGATTGACTTGGAGCATTTCAGTGTTATCTCCAGGGAGGCAAAGGTTGGGGGATGGGGGTGAAGGCCACCGATTTGCCCTTATCTATTCTGAGCACACCTAAAACAAATTAGACCTGGCTGCTGTTGCCTATTTGGCTGCGCCGCTCTCATTAAGCAAGCTGAATCCAGGCGATTCACCTCAAGGTCCTGCCTCTGCCGTTTTTTGGGCCTTGTCTTTTATCACTGTAGCAAAGGTTTCCAGACAGCCGCGCCGCCGCCTTCATCTCCACCATTTCATATACATCAACCCCGCACACAGACCACAGGGAGAGAGAACGTCCGTCCCTGCCTGTATGCTGGGATGCTGCTGATTTCCTACACACGACTTGATGCTGGCCTTTGACATCTATTAATTGACAGATTAATCTGCTCATCTGGATTTGGCTTTGCCCTTTTCTCCACCGCTGTATGCAAATGGAGACATGTGACTTATCGGGGTGTTATTTTATGTGTTTTGTTGCATTATGAGTGTGAACACAACACTATGTTGCTATCGATGATGTCAGCACTTGTGTGAACTCTCACTCGGCATTACGAGGAGGCCATTCTCACATCAAAGTGTATAATTAGTTAGTTTTCGAGGTAAAACTGGGGGGTTTGAAGATCATCAGACTGATGTGTTTGTGTATTGTGATTTGACTGGTAGAGTATTCCTGCACCAGTGCAGACGCATTTGTTCTTTGTGGCTTTTAAAAATTAAAACAAGATCTGGATGAAAAGCAAGTTTGTTTATTCAGGGAACCACTTTAACAAGGTAAATCACAAAAAGAGGAAAAGTTGCATTTGTGCATGAAAAATGTACCTCACATAGACTCTTCTTCTGTTACCATTCCTGTCAGTTAGCTGCAGCAGTACCGGTGTAAACAGTAACAAACATGTTCTTGTTCCATTGCTAATAAAACTTAATTTTTTAGTATTTATATAGAAAATCATTTTGCACTAATTCTAATTTTTGTACATTGTTGGATGATTGCGTCTGGTCTGTTTAATCATTTTAAAACAAGTTTTGTTTGTGAGCAACCATGTTTCTTCAGGCAAGTAAAGTTGTATTGTTGTATTTTAACATATAAAATTTAAATTAAATATTCAATTAAACTCAGATTGACCCATAATCAGAGACTGAAACATAGTGAACCTGATTTTGCTGTTTGTGTTTAAACCAGCTCTTTGGTGTCACAACCCTATCTGTGAGTCAGTCACAACTGAGCTTCAGAAGTCGGGGTTTTGGCACAGACATCGTGTACGTAGGATCCGTGAGCTGGTACTGCCTATTGGAGCAGCTGTAGTGGCTGGCTGCCATCTTGGATGGGTCTCCATTCACCCCAGTGCGTTTAATTCTTCTAAGGAGGTGTTTACCCAACTAAAAAATACATTTTATTATGCTTCTTCACAAATTCAGACATATGGTATGGCATGAGTTGAAATATAAGTGTAATAAAATAAAATAAATAAAATTAAAATATAAAATCCTAACAGGTAGGCTATGAAGTCCTAAGAAAACAGTACAACTCAATTCAATTCAACAGAGCTATTCCAACATGCAGCCACCCAGAGCAGCGCAGTTCCGGAATTGGAACGCAATGGTGGTTGCAACCAAAGGCTGTACAAAACAGTGGGCATAGCTGCTCACCCTGTGTTGACTCTAACTGGGTTTGCAGAGTGAGGAAACATCCAATATGGCGGCGAGCTGTTACGCTCTCCAGCGCCCAATAGGGCATCTGTACATATTCATGTATGAGTTTTGGAGTCTTTTTACTGATATTTGGACATCTCTTCTCTGATTGGTCAACAGCAACGCAACTCTACTACTGACCTGCAACGTTGATGTTTTATCTCCACAAATAACTCAAGCCTGCAGGAGTTCTGCTGTGTGGTGGAGTTGCTAATGCTAACTACTTCTACTGGTCGAGACGTTCTCTGCTGTTTCCTGGATGCTCCACCGACACCAACCTTCCTCTTCGTTAGTCAAGATAGGTGAGGCCGTGAATGCTGAGTGACAGGGTGACGTAGATCTGTTAGGATTTTCTAATCCTAGAGTTTCACCGTCTATCTTCTGATAGAAATCAGAAGCTAATGCAGATGATGGGCGTATAGGAGACGGCATTTATGTTCAGCCTGCATGAAAAACGCAGTGACCAATTATAATCAGAAATAAGATTAAAAAAACTGTTTTTCAGTGTTCCATACTTTTAAAGCAAGTTCATTTTTACTATTTAACAAACGACACAAGTTACCAAACATATTTACATCCTAAGGAATCATCATCAGAAGTCATCTCTATGGCATAAACGCTGATTTTGAGTTAAATGGTTAAAGTAAACAAAGGAAAAGGCACATGTCGCCCTCCTGCCAGCGCTGCGTTTGAACGCTAACGTGAAACCCTTTTGAGTCTTCTGAGCTGGCGCTAATGCAAAGGTAACTGCTCGGGAAATGTTAGGTTAGATGAGATTCATCTGCCAGACTAATCCATCCTGGAGCCTGAGAGCAGCAGAGACGCAGAGCAGAATCTGCAGCAGAACAGCACAGCGGTGACACGGGGCAATTCTCCAGGGCCTCGCATTAGCGCGCTAAATTAAAGGGGGTATTAGATGAAATTGGCTCTCCGATTTCAGGGGTGTGAGTAAAATTCTGATTTGCATTTTCCACCGCTGCTTAAGATATAATTAGTTCAGGGTGATTCCCATGTGGAAAGCACTGACAGCCAAATCTAACCAGCTGCCAGTAGCTTATCGTCTCTTGCAAGGAGAAAGGTTTGGTGTGTGCAGCTGTTTGTGGCCGTTTATGTGTGATGGAGAGGAGGTGTTAGACTCGTGTGCACGTCTGTCGTAAATTCTCCCTCTGAGGCTGCAGAAGCACTAGATTTTCACACGTCACAACTAAAACCTATAGAAGTTCAAATGGGCAACCTTCCCATATGTAACTTCCTGTTTGTAGATGTCATACATCACCTTTAACCTCTGCAGCAGAAGGTTCGCCTGTAATTACAAACGAGGAGCCTAAAAACAACAATTACAGCTGGAAAAGTTCTTATTATGGTTCACTGAAGTCAGAGAAGGAGCTTTTTAAAAGCAAGTGTGGATTTGTTTGGGGGCTTCACACCCTTGGTAATTCTACCTTTCTTTGTAAATGGATGTTTTCTAAACGTTAGTCTACCTGCAGGTTATAAATGTGAGTTTAGCTTCTTCTGCACCTGTTTGTTTGTCTGCAGCCTCCACTTTCAGTCCAGGACCAAACTACCCTGAACAAGTCAGTAAATGTCAAAATATCACCTGCACGCTGTTTCAAACTCAGTTTAAGAAGCAGCAAGTCTGCACTGTTTCATTTGAATGCAGAAATTGTCTTTTTTTGTTTATAAGAATTTTCCTTGGACATGGGACATTTTTAGATTGTTATTATGTTTTCTTATTTGATTTCTTTGTTTTACAAAAAAGACAGGTTTGAATCAATCAGGAAAGTGTTCACTACTTAAAAGTGGAACTAGGCAGTTTTGGCTTGCTTATAGCACCCCCTAGTGTACGTTTGTACAACCAAAAGCAAAAACCTGTCTCCTTGCTGTGCGTTTGTCTTTTTAACACCTTAATCTAACAGCTGAAATGTCTCCTCAGCCTTCTTTAGTGTTTACAGGAGTGATTCATCACTAAATTAAACAAATCATCTGTGTTCATGATCTAAAACTTGCAGGAAGCAGACTAAAACTTCAGTCCCAAGAGAGCGACCCGCCAGTCTGGAGCTGCAAGTGGAATATTCTGGCCACAGGGCATGACAGGGGCTGGGTGGCCTTTCATTACCCCTCTAAAGCAGGAGGAGGGCCGGCATCCAGCACGCTTTTGTTTTAACTCTGCTTCAACACACCTGATTTCAGTCAGCAGGTAATTGCCAGGCTTCTGCAGAGCCTGATGAGCTGCTGCACAGGTGTTGGGGCAGATAAACCCCTACTGGATACCTGCCCTCCTGCTCTAAAGGATCATTTTAGCACACACTGACTCAAGAAAATGATTTAAAAGTTGCAGAGTGTCCCATTATTCTGAATGAGAAGTGTCCTGTAAAACATGAAAAGGTGATTCATTCTGATAATGTGAGACATTCACCTTGACCAGAATTAAAAATAAAAATTTGTGGGTTTTGATAACAAAACTTAAAGCTTTGTCTACTGCTAATGTTAGGCGTCTCGATCCAAAATCTGCTTTAAGTTATCTTTGAAAAATGTGGAAAGCTCTTATTCCTTTGATCTCAGACAAAAATCATTAAAACCTTCTCAAACTTTCATCAGGGATATTAGATATGAATGACACGGCGTTGCATTAGAACAGAAATGACAAAAATTCCTCTATACAACATTTGAAAGTTGATTTTAGGAGCAAAAAGGATGAAAATTCCTTAAAATGTCACAAAGTCTTCCTAAAAACTACATTAAGCACGCATGAAACGTTTCTCCTTCTGCTTTTAGATGCAATTCTCACAATTCATCCTGATTAACAAGACGACACGTATAAGTTAACGCTCAGATAAAAAAATTAGAACAGATTAAGACAATAATCTAACAAAATGACATCTTGAGTTCATATTTAAGGAGAAGTGATGCATGTTTCCCCCTCCAGTCAAAGATTAGGTAATAGTTTATAATTAACCCGGTTTTCCTCTGTGTAATCGCTTAATTAATGAGCAAATGATCCGGTCCTCAGGTTGGATTTGTTGGAAACACATCCACCCAGACTCCTGCAGGCCACAGAGAGGAGAAGTACGTTTCCAGCCGAACGATCACACTCGGCCTTTGCCCTTTAAAACCAGATGTCGGCAGCTAAACAAATCAATTGGAATGAACCTGTTTGCATTCGTATCCCTCGTGAGATTGAGATGCATTAAACTCCAGCGCGACACACACACACACACACACACACACTGCCTATGAACAATCAGTTCAAACCAAATGTGGAAAAAGATCAATGCATGTGTAAACACGTGCATGCGGGTGCACACACAGAAACCTTGGGGGCTGTTTTGAGACTTGCCATCAGCGGCTCTGCCATCACTCTCGCCATCTCTTGGTGGTCAGCAGCTGAGGCTTTGTGGGATATTGATTCTCCCCATCCAGAGACGGTTTCCATAATTGGTTAAAATGACCGGGTGCAGAGAGAGATGGCTCTCTGCTGAACACCATTTCCCAGCCCTGCTTGGAGCAAAGCCAAGCCCGGGCTTGTTCGGATGCGTTCCAGCCACAGCCTGACTGGCAGCAATTAGGGGTGTCTGAGCCAAGCTCAGCTTGTGCTCCGCACAAACACCCCTAATTACTGCCAATTAGGCTAGGCGGGTAGGCAGATTTGAGAAAGCAGGGGGATGTTCAGGCATGGGTGGGCATGGAAACAATTTTCAAGAGCTTAGAACGTGACTGGATGAAAAGGTTAATGCTTTAGAGTGCAAGGGGATAATGACAAAAGAAGGGGAAGCAGAGCTCCGGTTCTCACCTCCAGCGATGAGCCTGGCTTCTTCTTCAGCTCCTCACATTTCCTAAATTTGCAGATCTGGTGGCCCGTTTTGCGGTTCCGACAACTGCTGCAAACACCACAGTTGATTAGCCGCCTGCAGGGTGCACACACCCCGCACCTTTTCCTTTTCTTCTTCGCTGGGTTTCCACTGGATGCTGAGGAATTATTCTGTGGGCAGTCTGCCAGATTGGCAATTTGAAACGCACTGTCTGTAACGGCTGCTGAGGCTGCGGGGGAGTGAAGGGCTGTCATGACGATGACCCCGGGAGGTAATGAGATGCCCCCTAAAGCCGGAATAGCGGAAAAAGTTCCAACGCGTTCCGGGAGATTCATTATCTCTGCTTCAGCAGCGCCGCATTTCAGCTTGTTCATGCATTCTCCTGCTAAAGGTCTGCAGTGTTCGGGGGATAAGGCAGAGAGGAAATTATTATTTGCCATTTGCAGCGTCTCTGGCGGCACGCCAGGCTTCCCCGGCCTCTGGGAGTCATTTCTATGCATGCTGGTCCTATTAGGGTTTATTGCCGCTGATTTCCTTCCCCAGAGCATGGCGGTATCACAGTTCCAAGGGGACATACCAATTCTGGCACTGGGAAAAATGGGCGTTGTGATGCGGGCGATTTTAGCAGTCTGTGGAAACGCCCCATTGGTTTTATAAAAGTTTGCAAAAGACCTGTACCTTTCCATTTCTGCGTTATAATCCAAAAGCTGGCTTAATCCACCATCCTGAAGATTATCCTTTTGTAAGAGGGACACATCTGCATTCTGTCCATTTTCAATGCAAAGCGCATTGTTTATGTTAGACATGACTGAGGGGCGTCTGTCGGCGTTTTAGCAGGAGAGAGTGAAGGTTGCAGGGGCCTTGGTCAAACTGGAGCTGGTTACGAACAATGTGTCACCATCCTGGTTGGTCGTCGTTGGTGCTAAAAGAGGAAAACAGGAAATAACTGTCACACATGAAAAAGTCAGGAAAGAAAAACGTGTAAATGTATTTTTTACATCAACTTTCTGAGACGGTAACAGATAAACACGTGAAGAACACGTTTTATCATAAAGGCGGACCAACATGGCATTGTCACAATAAAAATTCATCTGAATATTTTTTTCACACTTTTAAGATTGTTTTTTGCTCTCTTGTCAGCTTTAACAAGCTTTTTCACACCCTCAGTAATTATAGACAGGGGTGCGTTCAAAATAAAGACACAGCCATCTAATAGCGTTAACATTTTTGAAAGTTTTAAAAAAAAATCTCATCAAATGTCCAAAAAACGTGACAGCAGAAAAGATTTAGACGTGAGTTTGAATGTTGTGATTCTGTGTTTCTGGTGTCTCAGCAATAGCAGAGGTTGTCCAACCTGTCCCCCTGTCTCTCATTCATGGCCTCTATTACAGCGACAGCCCTCAGTGACGGCTACCGGTGAATTTACAACCAGATCATGGACCAGACCGACCATGGTGTCAGCAGCCTAAAGGATAGGGTGTGTGTGTGTGTGTGTGTGTGTGTGTGTGTGTGTGTGTGTGTGTGTGTGTGTGTGTGTGTTTCCTTCCCCTGTCTCTCTTCTGTCTCTGGATTTGGTTTCCACAGATAAAAGCCCATTAGACACATCTCTCCCTACTCCCATTACCTTTTTTTTTTGTGGGGTACTTTCTTTTTTAATTGCCAAAGCTGATGACGGTGGGGGAAAAATACATTTTAAAAGTGCACACATACTGCATGGATGTCCTTTGTTTGTGGGTCTTTTTTTAATGCCCAAATAAGCAACCAAAGCCTAAGACCCTGTTTTTATGCACATATGTCTCCATGTGCAACCTGCCACCCTTTTGAATCTGGACGTTTCGTGTCGATGTGATATCCAAAACAAGCAGCAGCCACCCGTAAACAAAACCTCCTTGGCTTAATGATCGACCCTCCTCGGGGTCATTATTACTTAATCAATTCACCCCTGGAGCGGAATACGCAGCCCAAAGGCAATCAAGTCACGGACATTGATTTTCCGCCTGTAAACAAAGTTTCAAGAGACAGAAATGTTCAATACTCGGAGCTGGAGGGAGACAGACAGGAAGAGAGACAGGGGGAGGTTTAGAGAGTGAAAACGAGACGAAAAAGTGGAAGAAAAGAAGAACCATCGCGCCGATGCTGCGCAATGGTGCCATTAATTACACTTAGTGTGCTCTGTTCTGTGGTGCACGTTCAGATCAAAGGTCAAGCGTAGATGTGGGCTGCAACAGGGCCAATAGGAGCCCATTTAAGTGCAGCTGGGATCGGGACAGAAAAGGGAGAGAGTGGATGAACAAAAAATGGGAATGGTGATGTGAAGAAGAGATGAGAGGAGAGGGGGGAATGGGATGGAGGGATAAATAGAAGAGAGAAAGAGCGTCACCTACCAGGTGAGAAGAGCTCCAAGAGGCGCTACCAGGGACGGAACATCACGGCGAGGCGAAGCGTGGAGGGGAAATAACGCAAAAGATGCGAGAAGACGCACCGTGTCAGTGCGCGCGCGCTCAGCCTTCACAACAAAAGAAGCATTCTGACCGACTTTCCCTTCGAGCTACCAGACAAGGGCTGAGAAGTGCACGAATGAGCCAAAAGGTGCAGAAGAAAAATAAGGATGAATATGGAGCAATCGAGGAAATCGGAGTGAAAAGGCGGAGAAGAAGCTTCCTGTCCTGATCCTGGGGCTGTGCTGTGCGCCTGGTCCGCGTCTCCTGGCTGTCGCTGTGTGTGGCTGATTGGTGCTGAGGTGAGGAAGCAGGGATGTGGACACCTACTGATCATTGGCTGGAAATTACTACAGAGACACTGTCGGGAGGGGGTGGGGTAAGGATGGCTCAGAGCCCCGAGAGAGAAACATCTCCGGGAAGCATCTGCGTCTCGCTGCGTGACACCCCCCCCCCCCCCCCCCCCCGCGCAGTGTTTTTAACATTTCTGTTTCAGGACGGGACATTTAGTGGGGAGAAAGGAGGAGGAGCGCTTTTAATAAGGTTTGGGGGAAAGTTGTCAAATTAATTAGAATGGAGCGAAGCTGTGATGAAGATAAAATGCCTCACTTGCCCCCCCCCCCCCCCCCCCCCCCCCCCGGTCCAACGACAGCCATAATTACCGAGACCTCCGGGACGCATCGTGTTATCAATCCCGCCTGCCGGCCAGCCCAACGCCTTCAGCTCCAACTGACGACATTTATTCCTCCGATCCCCTCTGAGGCTACGCTGCTTTCTTCATGTTGATGTTTATTAGCTCCAGTTAAAATTATGACTCCCCTCTAATGTCCCAGGTTTTCACCAAACTCAGCGTTTATCATAGGCTGTGGAGTGATTGGCAAAATAAAATAAAACAAATACAAAGAAAAAATTGTTAACAATAATAATAATAATGACCTTTGCACCAAGACGTATAAGAAAACCAAAACATACGTCCTGATTAAATGTTTTATTCCCAGAATGAAGCTGAAAGAATAAAAATAAAGTGCAGTAATCCTTCACAAGAGTCTCAGATACCTGAATCGTGTAAACGTGTTTACCAATATTGTGCATTGGTTAAAAAAAAAGATGTATCAGTTCCAGATGTTTTGAATTAAGTCTCTTATTGTGAAGGATTGAAGACGTTGCCAAAGGTCTACAGCCTATACTGTAAATCTAGACAGACCAAAGCAAAATGACTTTTTAACTTTATTCTGTATATTTCTCTTAATTTATTTTCGTCATTGTAGCTCAGATCTTGTGTCAAAAGCTTCTATTTTTGATTTAGAAAATAAAAATGCAAGCAGATAATAAAATCATCTTAGACTGACAATTATGTATTCTAACCTTGGAGGGGAAGTAGAGTAACGGTTATAGCTCTTGGTGACACATTAGGAGAAGTATTGACCAGATTATCAAGATAAAAGAAAGTCATATTTTAATTAGTTTTAATCTGGATTAGTACCATCTGCAAATTACTTTAATCTAAAAACCACCATGCAAACAATCTTTGTACTACAAATGGTGTGATAGTGGCATCTACAGACAATGCTGCTATCAAGAAATTAGCTAAAGAGTTTAAGATAATTTCAAAATATTTCTGATGGAATTACCTCATAATCCAGAGGAAAGGTTCACACTGTGTGCATGACCTGCTGTGACATTTTTTACATTGTAGTTATTTTTTAAAAGAGCAGTAGTCTGCTCTCTATATTGTGACTAGCCATTAGCTCTTGTATGAACTAACCTGCATTTCTCTCAACTGAGGCTGTTTAAACAGTGGCGTTGGTAAGACATGTAATATCTGAATCCTTTTTAAATTGTCCTCATTACTTTTGGATTAGTTGTTGATCGCGTTGGTCATTATGGGTCTTGCAACACCAAACCTACAAAAAAAGCTATTTCTTTTGAAGTTGGTTTCTGAGAAAAGTTTATGAAAAATTAATGTTTTACTTTAGATAGCTCTTGCAACTGCTTCAGCTTAGAGAAGCAGATTAGTAGCAGTGATGAGTCTAAAAATGCTCACAATGAAGCCTGCTTTAGTGTCTTAAAACAACTCTAATCTCAAAAAGTTTGATACATGCAAATGCTGTTAATAACCCTCCCCTTGTCATGCACTGTCAGTACTTATGGTTAGTCCAGCAAAACTGTAGTGCAATTAAATCAAGTTCTACTGCAATTAACCACAGCATTGTCCTGTGATGTGTAAAATGCATAAAATAAAAAAAAACATCTTCAGCTGTTGGGGAGTGTAGGATTAGGGCTGTCTTTAAACTGACACTAAATACATTTCCAGTTTCTCCCTCCTACTGGTAGAAAGCGGAATTACAACTGTCGTAAACAACCCTGCTGTAGCTAGCTCTAACACCAGCATGAGCCAACTGATACTAAATGAACCAATAAATAAAAAAAATCCACACGGTTGGACGAAAATAAATATTACTTACAAGTCCCATAACAACAAAGCCAGGTCACCATCAGTTTGAGATTTTGAAGTCTCCTTTATTTCCCTCCAGCATGTGTAGGCCATGCTGATGTTCATTCTGGTTGTAGCTCTTTGCTTCACCTCCTAAGACAATACTCCCTTACTTTTGATTCTTCTTCCTCTTCTTCTGCAAACTGAAAAAGCTAACTGCTAGCTTTTAAAGCTAACTGGTACCAACCCAGCCCGACTGTCCCATTTGAAGTTGCTTGATTTTCTGGCTGAAGAAGCACTGAAATCAGTTTGAAAGCAATAACTTAAAGTGTTACAAACTTTTAAGTGTTGCTTTAACATAGCAGACACTCTAAAACTGCTTCCGTTCATAAAAGCTGTTACCTAGACTACCAGTTAGAAACTAATCCAAGCTTTCTATCCAATCCAATCCAATTTTATTTATAAAGCGCATTCACAAGGCATTACAACCAAACAAGGCGCTGTACACTAAAACTGAGGACATTCAGAAGCTTTCTAAACGTAAGGCATTAACCATTTATTTGATGATAGAAACACGCTTCAGCACATCTAAACTATTCCCCCAAAGCCTACATCGTGCTGCCGCGTTTGTTGAATTAATGAACCAGTTAGGAGCAAATTCTTTAAATTATGTTTGTTTATGTAGAAGTTTCATCTGTATGTTAAATAAATTGTTAGGTTTGTTCTCCAAGTCAACAAATACTTAGTGCTGCTGACAGGCTGAAAAATATGAATCTGTCTGCAAAAACTCATAGAATTCTAATGAAAAAATTCAAAGAAATCACATTTGCTTTTTCTGATGTTACAACATGTTATGTGCTTGGAGGAATTATTTTTTTTATTCCAGACTTAATCTGAAAACTTTGTACATGTAGCCTGCAGTTGTGTTCCTTTCAGTTCAAATGTCCCTGGTCCAATACTTTTTGTGGGATTTAATAAAACAAGTAGGTCTGATTCAACACCAGGGTTTAAATATGATAAATCGGCCCAGAGCAGTGGCTTTTATGAGCTACTCCATCTGATTCAAACACCGTGTAACTGTGTGGTGGTTATGTCAGTGTTCCACTTTCTTGGAACCATTCTTTGTTAATTTATCTTTCTTTGTGATTCAGTCAGGAAAACTCAACTATATTAATATTAAAACCTACAACAAAGTTTTGTTTTTTCCATTTAAAATAAAACATTGTTGCTACAACACGTATTAAGCTGCAGAAATCCACCAAACAAAAACCTGAATCCAGTGATCCGTTGTGCTTTTGTGTACACACAGATTAAACTTCCTATCTGAACTGTTGCAAATGAATTTTACTGCACTTGAATAGACAGACATTTGATCATTTTAGCTCTGTAAGTGAAATCAGAGAAAATATCACGTTGTAGGGGAATCATCAGTTCCTGCACAACGTTTCCTTTATAACAGGCTTTGTTTGAGTAAACAAACTGACAGCTATATGACACATTTCTAAATCATACGGCCCTTCCAGGTAAGCTGTGTGACACAGGCCTATAGGCTGCTAACGGCTACGCTTTGATGAACGTATTTAGAGCTGTGAGAAGATGGGACCAAAAGGAAGAAAATACTTCTACAGTAAATGTTGTAAACTAATGGGCAGATATCATGAAAGGTAGAAGATTTGATATTTTCACCCAAAACATGAAAAAAGGGTCAATTTGGTGTATTCTGTATGTTACAGTGGGGGAAATAGGGAAGTTGTGGCACCTCCTTGTGAGGCTTTAGTCATCTGCTGCTCTTTCTGCTCGTCTTCACATTCACAGGGACAGCTGTGCAAGTTTTCTGTTCATCGACACACGAGAGGCTGACACATGAGCGACAAAGCGATAATCGCAGGTCTCCCTCCTACCAAACGAAACGCGAAAAACGTGCGTGTGAAATTTTGCGCTAGTGCACGTGTCGTGCACAGGCGACCCAGCGACGCGATCCCAGAAAGTTGAAACATTTTCAACTTTTCATCGCTGTCGCTCGGACGAGGACCAATCAACGGAGGTTTCATTCACTGACCAATGAGCGGACAGGATGCTCCGTACACCTCCGAGCAAACATGGAGGAGAAGTTGATTATTATTATGTTTTATAGTAAAATCAGAAGTAAGATTTCACATAACTCTAGCAGCACCTTGTGAAACATCATATCTACCGCTTTATTAACTCTGAACCGCTTAAATAACCTTAATTCCCTCCAACCTGACACAGCCAATCAAAACAACGGAAGTTTTGATTTCGCCATGGAACAGAACGCGTAGACGGCTTTGCCGCTGCCGCGGATCGCCTCCCGTGTGTCAGGTAATAAAAGCGAAGGCGACAAATTTCGCTGATCGCGGTCGTTTGTCGCCTCTCTTCCAATCATTTTCAATGAGACATGCGCGACAAAGCGATAATCGCGGGTCTCCCTCCTACTAAGCGAAACACGTGCGTGTGAAATTTTGCGCTAGTGCGCGTGTCGTGCACAGGCGACCCAGCGACGCGATCCCAGAAAGTTTAAATATTTTCAACTTGTGAGACTTTAGTCATCTGCTGCTCTTTCTGCTCGTCTTCACATTCACAGGGACAGCTGTGCAAGTTTTCTGTTCATCGACACACGAGAGGCTGACACATGAGCGACTAAGCGATAATCGCGGGTCTCCCTGCTACTAAGCGACAAGCAAAAAACATGCATGTGATGTGTCATGCACGTCGCCGTCGCTCGGACGAGGACCAACCAATCAACGGAAGTTTCATTCACTGACCAATGAGCGGGCAGGATGCTCCGTACATCTCCGAGCAAACATGGAGGAGAAGTTGATTATTATTATGTTTTATAAAGTAAAATCAGAAGTAAGATTTCACATAACTCAAGCAGCACCTTGTGAAACATCATATCTACCACTTTATTAACTCTGAACCGCTTAAATAACCTTAATTCCCTCCAACCTGACACAGCCAATCAAAAC